GTATACAGTTCCATGAGACATCCAGTATGACACCGTGTATTTCCATAAAAAATCATTCCCGCGTACCCGCCACTGCTCATAGGCATGCAACGACCGAACGACAGTCGACCGGTCTGTATACCGAATTCGAATCAATTGATTGGCTGTTGATTGGAAATTGAATTAGATCGGAATGTGCGTGTCTACGGGACCTGGTTTGGGGGGGGGGGGGGGCTAGCGAAGAAGAGAGACAGAGTCACGCAGGGGGGCTGGCGAACGAAGCGAGATAGGGTTGCTCCACAACCCTGAATCCCAAAGGGTAGGGCGGAGAGCGAACCTGGCGTGGGTGGTTTGGGTAGAGGGGATGAGCGCGGAGCGGCTGCTTCTGGCTTCGCGATGCGCCTGGAATATCAATGCCAACCACTTTTCGCTGCGACCGCTGTCGGACAGAGGCGCAAATCCTGGCGTCGTTCTTTCGATCCCTTCCACACGGCTCTCTGTACGCGGGCACGATAAACGGAGAGCATGCACCGCTACCACCGCCATCGCTTTTCACGCGACTGACCTCTTTGATACCGTGCCCGGAATCACGCCTGTATACGTCGTTTACTCGTGGCCTCCTCGGATTTGCATAAATTATCGGCGCCTACGAAGAATATCGATTGGTGACCTGGCTGGCCGGAGGATTCGCGACGGAGACGTGGATGCTGTTGGGTATAGACGGGTTTTGGAGGATGGAGGATATGAAGTTTTTGGGGATAGAGTTGGTTTCTGTTGGATCCTTTACTCTGGGACGGGCAGTGAACTGATGTTTGGAAGATTCTCTAGGGATGGATTTGTGGTACGAATGGATGCTTGTTTGTTGCGTGGCTACGGAGTCTATGATGAATAGAATAAGCAAATGGTTCTTATGCCTTTAACGCCCAGTATTGTACCGATGCAATACTCATTTTACAAGTGCGTCAAATTCTGTCGCAGGTTCATATCTAACTTCTGTGAGCAAGGATCTGTACTTTCAGTATTCAAGTAGAGAAATTCAAGTATTCCCTTCAAAAATAAATAAAAAATAAAAGACAGGAAAAAGGTGGGTTTGTTTAATATCGATATTTTTGACTTCGGAATAACAGGATACAAGATGTAGATCAGTCTTATAATTTTGAAATAACTATTTAAGGGTATGGGTTTATAGGGTTAAACTACTAACTGCATTTGTCCGCTACAGTGGACACCTGGTTTATGATTTTAGTGATAATATTTGGAACATTTCTAGACGATCGGCAGTACGAATCTTCTTTAAATGACATCCAAACATTAGAATAACGGTGTTACTGTGACTAATATTTAAAAAAAACGTGTCTTAAAGTAATCTTAAAATGACTATTGGTTCTTGATGTTGTGAAAAAGAATTTTGCACAAGATATCAAAAAGGTGTTATAAAAGGAATTATGAAAGTGTCGCATAGGGAAAAGACTACGTTTGAATCTTAATGATTGAATATTTAATCGGGGTATGTTCATATATATTCACATTTCTATTGTTAGTTTTATGATTTTAATGATTTTGGTGGTCTGCAAATTTTTGTTCTAACCAGAAGTGTTCTGTGACTTCGAGAAGGTTAAGAACCACTGGAATAAGCTATTCGATTTTTGAAATAATAATGCTGTGTAGGAAATATTTTGTTTTTTTAGAAATGATATCAAAAGAGGCGAAGGTCGTGAATATGTAGTTTGGACCGACGTGGTGTATAAGAGAAGTGTTTATTATTCTAATATAGGTTGACAAAGGATTCTTTAAAAGAAAGTTCATTCTTGAGGATTCTGGTCAGGATTTTGGGATTCTGGACCATTGTGAACTGTAAGGAAAGATTAGTCGGGTTTTGCTTCTTGGAAATAGGAGGATCTTCAAAAGAGACACAAGATGTTTCACAACACAAGGCGCTTGCGGAGCAAGTGGCCCAACACCTTTACGACACTTTTACTAGAAGATACCCTTTGCCTTTCCCATATTGAATGCTGGTTGTTTAGAAACGGTCCTGAACTGATCCTCCTTGGGTACTTCCATATTTTTGGACCACGATAAGACACTCCTACAGTTTTTCGATCGAAACGACGTTATGTTGAGGTCACAGAGTTGTATGTAATGTAGGGTTTAAGCAATTCAGAAAAGTATTTCTGCTAGCTAAACGTAGCAGAAAAACACATTTGATGGGTTGTGCCTAGTAAGTAGACTGCGGATGTTAATGCATTTATAGCATCTCTTAACATAGAAAATGGAACAAAATTAAGGTTTTAAAAAAGTTTTATATTATTTATGGACTAATGTAGTTAAGCCTCTGGCACAGAACTCAAAACCTCGCCCCATTTAGATTTTTAAATGTTAGTATCGAATATCGTGAATTTACATAAAGTTCTCGAGTCTACTAATAAGGAGATAGTTTACTAGGTAACTTGTGACGATCCTAAGAAATAATTGGTACCCTAGAAAATGTGTGCGTTTCTATCGTATTATTTTGACACTGGATGTGAATAAGTAGTATAAGATGGGTTTGGTCAGACACCAGTAGACGAAACTATCACACCTGTATTTCACTCTAGTCACATAATGTCCAGATTAGGTGTATTCCAAATACTAGTAGAGATTGTAAAATGTACAATTTTATTCGTTAAATTATGCTATAACGGGTGTAGCAGAATGTCTCAAAAAAGATGTCTGCATTTTGTGTACGAGTTTCATATGTTAAAAAGAAGAAAGGAGGTAATCAAATTCACTCCAAGATACAATTTAGTACATTTTATATTAATTAATAATTTAATTTGCATTATTTATTGAATAATGATATCATTAAACAATATTTACGTCTGTCATTAATAGACTAAGAATTCTAGTCGAACTGTGTTAAAAGTTCTAGCCATCTTGTTTGTTATTCCCTGTACACATTTTCACTTAATTTCAATTTTAGATGTTTCTGTCCACACAAATGTCATCATTTCATCGTGACCACCCATTAATTTAATTTTGTCGCGCCTAACACCTGCTGATATAATGGGACATTAAGTACAAGGTTTACAATAATGATGAAACACAGAAGTAAATAAATAATATTTTCCTATAAATTCTATTTTGCTTTTCTTAGGAATATGGATATATCAATAACACTTATTGTCATGAGGGTACATAAGAAAAGTCACAAATCGAACGAGCCACATGTACTCTCGCAAGCAAACTCGGCTTCCACTAGGGGAAAAAGTAACATAAGGAAAGGACCTCCTACCATTTGGTATTTGGAATTATTAAAATATATACCAAATTAACATTCGATTTAACATTTATTTCACTACCTGGAATAAATTTACCAAGTGGTAGAAGACTTTTCTTCTACACCGCTTTTTCCCCTAGAGGAAGTCCAGTTTGTTCGTCGGTGTACAATGTAATTTTTTCAACTTTCAATTTACCCGGAAGGGTTACGAGGACACATCGCGGGCTCGCGGCGTCGCCGATCGGCGTACCGATGGAGATCGGTTGTACAATATAAATGCAAGAAGGAAACAGTAGTAAAGCCCGTCGTTACGACGGCAGGAATTACCCGAAGGGTGGAGACACTGAAGACTGGAACGCAATACGGTAGACGATGACCGCAAGGACGAGCTTTTACGAGCTTTCTCTCTTCCTCTATGTGGTCTTTTTCCCATCACGCGACGAGCAAAGAGAAATGACAGAGGATGAGAGAAAGAGGATGGCAGAAAAAGGACGAGAGAAAGAGGACACGGCGAAAGAGAAGAGAGGAACCAACGGAGGGGCTCTCGTTTTCGTTTCTCTTATGCCCAGCGTCGCCGTCGTAAACCCGGGTTTATTTATGCGGCCCTCGTCGGCCGCCTCCTGTAGTAGGACGACGGGAACGTGACAACGTGACGTGGTTACTCCATCGTTCTACCTTGCGCTCTTACAACCCTTATAGTTCAGTTATGCTTTTCCTGATAAACGCACGTTTATTTCTGTACCGATGATGCCCCCGACCTGTCTGACGATGTCTCCTGTTCTATGTCGCTTCGGTAGGTCGTATATAGAGCGTTAAGAAAAATGTAGGACACTTTCAGAGGGTGGATTCTACATGCTAAACTTAAAGGCGAATTTAGATTTACACCAGTATTTCCCAACGTGGAGTAATTGAATTTTGGGGGGGGGGGGGTTTATTAGCAAATCATCGATATTTAAATAGTTGGGGGCAATGAACAAATCATTGACATTTGTCACCTCATCGATAACAGTTTTACCTGCGTATCTTTTTTATTTGTAGCAGCTATGAATATTAAACTTTTTCAGAATTTTTTTTTCATTATTTTTTTTTATTATTCTCGTTTTAAAATATTTTTTATTATTTGGCAAACGTTTAATACTTATTATATGTTACTTAACTCAATTATTATTCCTTATTATATAAATAAACAAAAATATTAGTTCAAGATAATACATTTGTTTTACCCTTCTAAGAATAGCAAAAAAGAGCTCGTGTCGGATCCGACCCCACCTTACCAAGTACTTTAAAACTCACCTTACTATTCAAGAGTTAGTAACTCAATATTTCTTCAGTTCTTCGACTTACACCACTTTCATAATCACTGGCACATGTGTGCAATTATTATTATCCTTTTCAAAATATAGCATAATTAATATGTAAAGTATATAATAAACGGTAACAGGTGTTATCTACAAATTCCCTACTCGATATTATGGTAATATACGAGTTGGTACACTGACTTGTGTTAAAAGTATGTGAAAAAGAACGATTTACCAGGATCACAGCACGAACACCGAGTAAATCGATCATACTCTACGGGATCATTCGGTCGAAAGATAAATATCTTCGTTCCCGTTGCAAGATACACAGTTCACTTCCTTTAGTCTACTACTTGCGACCAGTTTATACATCACCCGCACCCTCCGCCGGTGCCTCAAGAACGGGGCAATTCGTTTGAGTTAGCCGCAGCAAGGCGGCCACTAAAAATGTATATTTAATGTTCCAGACCGAGCTGGCTGCGTTGAGGGATCGAAAGGCGGCGATGCTTGCGCTGAACGTCTCGACGCACAGACTGATCACCGATCTCGGTAATTCGGCTTCGGTGATATTCACCACCTTGAAAGACGGGGTCGCGGACCTGTACCGTGTCTGGGACGAGACTTTCCAAAAGTAAGTTCTCTACTCGACATTAACCCTTTATAGTCTTATTTATCTAACAGGGGAACGGTTCTTGCTGTTACACCTGGAAAAAGAAAAATCTTGTGGACGTTTTGTAGTCCACTTAGCTCCTATTAACCCTTAGAAAGCGGAAATTTTTTATGATCGAATGAACAACGATACCTGGGTCTAGATAGATTCCTGTTCATTTGTCTTTACATGTGTCTTGGAACGAATTTCTTCAGAATATGTACATATGAAAATGAACCTTCTGTTTTTTTTTTATAAAATTCCCCCTTTCTGAAGATCGTTTTGTAAAGGACGGAAAGTCCTATTTTCAAAACTATGTTTATCCTATTTTTCCCTTTATATTTGAGTGTATTATATATATTTTATTTACAGGGTGTCCCACCGAACTCTACCACCCTTAATTATTCTCTGATTTATCATGGTACAAAAAAATGTGTCTGGAGGAAGTTAGTGTATTTTAAGGGGGAAATTAGGCTATGAGATTCAAGGTCACCTCAAGGTCATCTCAAGGTCATATCTTCTGAAATTTCTCTACTGGTAACGTTTTTTTTTAATGGAATGCTGCATATTTTTGTTTGCCATTACAAAGAGGAGATCAAAACGTATCCAACAATGTATCACACTATGACCTTGAAATCAAAAATTTCGCACATAACTGGTTGAGGTGGAAGCTCACAGAAAATGAATTGAATTGAAACAGAAATGAATTGCAGAAACAATTATTTTAGTGTATGTTCAAAGTGTTGTCACCGCATAGGGTGATATATTGTTGGATACGTTTTGATCTCCTATTTGTAATGGCAAACAAAAAAATAGGGCATTCAATTTAAAACAACGTTACCATTAGAGAAATCTCAAAAGATATGACCTTGAGATGACCTTCAATCTCATAATTCAATTTCCCCCCTAAAATTTTTGGTACCGTGTCAATTAAGAGAATAATTAAGGATGGCAGAGTTAGGTGGAACAACCTGTAACGTTCCACAAATCAAAATACGTTACCCCTTTTAAAAAAAACGACGATGACCTTGAAATGTCGGAAAATATGACCTTCAGAAGAAAATCTTCTCTATCACAATAACTGCCCTACAGGATAAAAATTTTCTTCTTCACACAGTTTCTCGTATCATTAAAAACAACGCAGATATTTTAGGTGAAAGTGTTAGGTGACTCGCTCTGTATATTATTAAACACAATACATATTTTGTACTATGATATTATTGAGTTTATCCTTCAAAAAATTTCCGTCTCGAAAGGGTTAACAGAATAATTGTCATAGTAGTGAAAAAACGATCAAGGGGTAAGGTTTTCGTAATAATCTTCGACGTTCTTCCGCGTTCAGTTTTCTCTTCCTTGTGCACGGTATGTTTATCGAATTTCGGACGGGAATAGGCGGTTTAGGATCATCGAGTGACCGTTCGCTGGCCGGCGTGTGTGACGTTCCGCAAATATTATGAGAGGCAATGAAGCCCCGAAAAGCAAACACCCGGGGAACCCGTGGACACCCATCGGCGACGAGGGGCCCCGGGGCATACGGGATTTCGACCCGTGTCACGGGATTACTAGTTTTAGCTGGGATCGCGCGTTTAATCTCGCCTATTTCTAAACTGTCCATCCAGTCAAAGTATCGTTCATTTGAACGACTTTCCACCAGATTATACAGTTCGCTGCAATAATAAGTAATCTACTATAATGGGTAATCGAATTATTGTTAACCCTTTCGTCTCCATTGTAGCCATATGTCTACCTATTTTAAATTACGAAATGAAATATTAATGCCATGTATATTTTTATATCTGTTAGTATTTAATAGTTTCTTCTAGTCTTGTGTAGATGGCATGATACAAATTTTAATTATGCATTTACAATCTAATCGGTAAAATAAAACATTATTGCACTTCTGTTCCTTTCATTTGCTGGAATTCAAGTGTTGAGCATTGTTAGGAACACAATAAATACCTACGAAACCTTAATTCTTTTCAAATATTTCAAGGGGGTTTATTGATAAAAAGAATAGATTGTATTATATATAATAAGTTTAGAATATAAATTGTTATACATAATTAACAAAGGTAAAGAAACGAGTGAAAAATGGCATTAAATTCTTTCAAATTGTTGAAATTTTTCACGAAATCTCTTGGAACCGTTTGGTTTTCTCAGTAGATACAGAAGTTAAGAAAATTGTCTATATTGGATCAGAATTTGAGCTGTGGGAATTGGAGGGTTAAGCTGGTTGCAGTGCTGATGGAAAGTTTTCGATCAACTTTCCCGTTTTCATAAATCTAGTTTTCTACAGTAGTCGTTACGTTACTGTATTTAAGTAATTTCTTGTAAAAATTACTCGATTTTATATTGGTTCATTTTCTGAGATTTTTCGTGACTTTCCCTGTAATATTCCGTTGCGACAGTTTAGTTATTAGTTGGAAATTTAATTTTATATAAAGATATTTGCATTCTAACTTGCAGTGAAATCTTGAACCATCCTCAAAGTGATTATGATTCCCGAATATAATTTTTGTGTAACGATCTTTGGGATAAATAAGGTTTTTCCTTCTTATGCACTAAAAAGTGACGGAAAGAACCTATACCTATAGCAATGTAATACACAATATATTGAGAAAATCAATTTATTTCCTTGAACTTTTTAAAATAACTATAGTGAGAAATTCAATTACTCCCAGAAAGGTGGCGAAAAACTATACAAAATGGAAAAAACTATTTCTCTAATAATTGTGGAATATTAGTAAAAGTTTTCACTAGAAACATCCTCTTTACTTTTACATAGATATAATTTTTATCGATGTGGTGTAAGCCTGGTCAAGCAAATCACGAGCCTTGAAATTGATACGGTGTTCGAGGCAGAAACGGTCGGCTTTTAATTGCTGTATGAGCACTTGATTCCCCTGTCTGATCGCGGTCTGACCCATGCAAAGGGGTTTACCACTGACCCACTGGGGTTTTACAAAGGTCGATCCCGCATCTCCAATTCTCCCCCCGAAATTCCTATTCTTCGCACGAACGCTCGCCGTTTCTTCTGTTCAACGCACAAATCATTCAGCCCATACTTCATTTCTTCGTGGAAAATTTACATCGATCGAATTTATATTTATATTTACATAAATCGAAAATTAACTGTCTTCCATTGCTTGTAAGTCTATTTATTGTAAACATTTCTCTTCAATTCTGTATTACTTCTTTCTATTCCTGTTTCTGAATGTAAAGCTTTCAAAGTATATGAAAATCTTGTGTCGAGATTTAAGTTATGATTCTCAATGTAAACATTTATACTTTGTTATGGAGAAACATAGTAAGCATGGACAAGTTATACACGTTACAGTAAACATAAATATAAAAATGTACTTTTCTTTACGTTAAAAGCCATAACTGACTCTTCCTTATTAATAAGAAAGAAGTAGCACAGGATTTGTTCCCTAATATTTTTATAATAAACTCATTCTTCATCATTTGCCAGTCGAGATTATTTTTTCATTATAGATTCGATTTGTTTATTTGTTAAAAAATTAAAATACATTTAACACAGCGGAATTAGGAAGTCATTTTTTTCAATGTTTTCGTCGAGTCGAATGAATTTTTCGATTCACACCGTGTAAAAGGATCGCAGAATCATTTTGCTATGATTCTATCGCGGGTCAACGTGGGGAAATGTTGGGATTGTCCTCGGATAAAGTGTTTTTATTTGCCGATAGCGCCATCGGGGAGGTCCACTAATAATTCGACGTCTTACTGTTTGCCGAACGGCTTTCCCTTCGTTCCACTTTTTATTATGTTGACCCGCGCCGCGATTTTTCCCTTTCAATTTCGTCACCTATTCCGAGAACGGGGAGAAATCTGTGTTTATCGAGTGTCGTGGATCCATTGAATCCGAGCTTCTCATCGCTAACGCAAATGCAATCACGAGCTTCGCACTATAGTATATTGTAGATTATTCTAATCAGTGCTCGTGGTGTATCCAAAAAAGAATATACGTACACTATGCATAATATTTTCTGGTTATACTTGATTTCGAAATAGTATAAACTTCGAATTTTTAGTGCTTCGAAAAACAAATGGACCACTGAATTTTTTTAAGAATTAAAATTCATATCTTTCCTCAATCACATTCATATCTCCTATTTCTCTTGTATTATTTTTTTCTTTTACGTTATATTTAATAAAGTATGGTCAACGAAGAAAGAGGAATTATTACTTAATAGATCTTTGATTTTGAGGAGTGGAAAATATAAATTAATTTGTAAAATTTTTTCGAAAAATTCAGACCAGTTTGGACTCTACGAATTAATTCATAAAAATGAAAATTAAGAATTACATAGAACTTTCTTTCTTTTTGTTAATAGTTTAATTAGGTTAAATCTTTTGTTGTTTTGGTATTGGGACATTGAAAACTTTTTATACAATTTAAATCAGAATATTCTAAGGGCACATTGAATTCTGTTACAATAAAATATTATACAGTATATACTAAATCATTAAATACACCATAAACGCAACGAGCACTCTATATAGAAAGACAGAAAAATACAATTAAAAGTAATAAAAAATCATGCAATTAATTAAGTAGGCCGTTTCGTATAATAACTCTTTATTTGTTTATTTTAATGAATCGTATTCATTGTTCTGTAATGATGCATTGTTTTGCACAATTTATTCGTTGCACGTATTTTGAACCATGTGTCCTTGTACCTTGCAGGGGTAATCAACAATTGTGCGCCCTACAAGCCGTCCAGCAGTTTAGTATTCGTTTGGCGGAGCTACAGTGCGCGTTACGAAGGGACAAGGATACCCTTGCAGTTTTGGATGTTGCCCTCCAGGCAGGGGCCACGTCCGAAGTGGCTTCATCCGTACGTCACGTCGCCAGGCTACTGTCCGAGAAACAAGACATCAATTGTCAGGTAAAATGTAATTCTTCCTCCAGCGAACCTTTATCTTTGTTGTCGTTAGTAGTTCTCTGTAGTCGACGTAATTCTTACTCGTAATAATTTACAAAAGTTCACCATTAACTTATTTTGAACTACGAATTTCTAATACAAAAAATTAGTTACTGCTCATTGCAGTGTGTATTTAGTTAAAAAAATGGAAATTATTCATTCAGAGTTATAAACCTCTTTATTATTGAGTAAAAAAACTTAATTTTATACCAAACCAAGACAATTTAAATGCAATTATTTTATAATTACTCTGGTATGTTACTGAAATGTTAATTTTTAAATGAACTAAAATGTGTATTTTTTTACCCATTGTGTGATTATTTAGTTTCTATGAAAATGATCGTAGAATCTAAATTAATCCGAGGACTACATACAAATTGAAGGGGTCAGTGTCATTGAAGGAATCAATGGTTACACAAGAAAAACATAAGTTTGGAACATAAGTCTGAAAATATTAGAATGTTTAACTGCTCTTGCTTTAGAATGAAACGAAATAAAATCATATAGCACAGTGTTTGCCCTTATTAACTTAATAACCCATTATTGCACTGATCCTTTCAATTATAAAAGTAACCTGAAAAATACTGAAATTTGATTGACGTATCTTCTGAATTAATTTCTTGTAAGTTAAAGGAAAATTTTTGATTTGAAGAGAAAGAAAATATCTTTCATCTTACAAATAATAGAAGAAGAAAAAGAGGATAAACAAAATTATTACTTGAACTTTCGCATATCCGTCGGACCATTTTAAATTCTCACAGTACGTTCATTTTTATTATACTATTTCGATTCATTCGATGATGCGTTGTAAGTGTCGCGGAAACGAGTCGGACCTGTAATCGTGGAAAATGGTTCGACGATAAAATTTTTCAGTGCTGCCATGAAAAACGTCGAAAGTGATTTCGCCAAGGCAGCGGAAATATGTCGTAACGTTTTATTTCATGAACATCTGGGCCTGGCGTGGCGGGAAACGCGAACGCGTAAACAGTTTACTCGATTACACCGTTAATAGCGAAATTTATTATTCCCTAATATTTGTCTCACGGTATTTTCCCAAGATACATCGTTCTCGTTTCTCTCTTCTCCTTTTAAGATAAATTAGATATCAACTTCATTTTCTGAAATAAGAACTTCGTATAAGTGCTGACCGTAAGTAGTAACGGCTTGTAATGAACAGATGGGTTATCCAAGGCCTATTGCCCGTGTCTCTAAAAAACTTTCCAATTCGATTATTTCGAAAACGAAGCATTACCCAAAAAAAGTTTACTCTTTCTTTTCGTCTAATCTTTGCATGTAGAATCACCAGCTGGTACTACAATTTCAGGGACACCCTGTATAATCGACGAAAAACTGCGGAAACTTTATATTTTTCGCTGTCAATCGTCGGATCAGTTATACAAGGATTGAATCTCACAACGTTGTTCGATTCCATCACGGCACGACGTACACGTACGTGTGCATCGTCCGTCAATAAACGTATAATAATACGTGACGATTAGAGTCAACGGGAACGCAGCTAAAGGGAAGAATTCCAGGGTTGAGGGGCCACGAAATGCGTGGCGTCCGGCAAAACGTTTTGCATCGTGTGTTCCACGTCCCCGCGCGGATAATGGCCATCCTCGGACTCTTGGCTTCACCGTCCTTTCCATCCCCTCCTCGTACTTTGATCACGCCTTTTCTTCTTTATTTCGCCGCTATGATACCTATTACCCGTGTCTACGGGGCCCACGCTCTTCGTCGTCGCCGCCGTTCTTCCTCCCACCTGACGAACCACGGACGTGATTGCTTCGGAACCTTCTCCACGCACGAAAACCATTTGGACGTTAGATATGCCGATGGAACTACCTTTCTGCGTTTTTCTGTCCGATTGCTGAGAATAGTTCTTGTCGGCGGTGGGGGTGGATGTGAGATAGGTAATGATGGGAATGAGTATGGACCGTGTTAGGTTAATATTGTGATAAGTTTACTGCTGATTTTTATGCGAACATAGAATTTACTGAATGTGTTTCATGAAAGTGGAGGCGGAGGAAGATTGATTTATTATGTCAAGGGTTTCGGTAAGTTCGAGATAGAAAGGACATCTGAATAGACTGAAATTTTTTATTGTAGGGTCTTTCCACGCGGAAATCGGACACTTTTTGAAGCAGCATTTCGGATTTTGTTCAAATTTGGATATGTTGTAGTCTTTCGCGATATATAAACGTATCTCGAAGGATTTTTGAAAGTTTTGTAAATTGTTGATTTTACAGCTGTTTGAAATCTATGGTTAATCTTTTTTTAATAAATCATAACTATTGAATCAAAGTTAATAAGTTATCTATGTAATACATATCTGGTAATTCTGAGAAAGCATACAATCACTATCATCCGGAACTCGTAAAATACTTATATATACTTACTTATTATTCATAACTTTATATAAAATAAAAACAAAAGTTTTCTTTAATGCAATATTAATTGAAATTGAACAATTGTAGTTATAAACATTTTATATGTAATTCTTACAGTATATTACTTTTGCATGTTACATTGAAAGTGTCGAAGCGCGATTTATGGAGACTTCAATGCCCGCATAGAAAGGTGTAAGGTAACTACGTGCGTAAGTGATAGCTTCTTTCTTACAAAACATTTGACGTCTGAAATTAAGATTGTGTATTTGTTTACCTCATCGATTGCTTAAATAAAATTCTAAGACTCGTTTTTATTCTGAAAAAAGTATTTTAAATGTATTTGTTTAGAGAGAAAGGGACAGTTAATTACCTAAGTTACACTCGAATGAGTTAAAAGAAACCGAAGATCTTTTTGTAGAAAGTTATAGATCTTCTACAGATCTTTGTCGACTTTTAAATATTATACTGAAATAATCATGATAGTGTATCATTATTAGAAGAAACAATTCTGTATTAAAACATTCCGAAAATTACTATAAACAGATTCTAAATTACAGCTACATTTGAATCAACCTCGACCCGAAACTAATGTTCCACTTTTCCAATTTTCGACTTGCAAGAGGATAAAAAGAATTATTTAAAAATTTCGTTGCCCGAGAAATTACACATCCCCCTTAAAAATTTAATCAAATGGGGACTTTTTCTTTCTGTATCGAGTGTTTCTCGAAATTTCTAATCGGCTCCCGAGTAATTACTCGCTCATCCTTTAACAAATTTAATCAAATAGGGTATTTTATCCTTGTATTTTTGTACTTCGTTTTCGTATTTACCTAAAGTCTCAATTTCGGTATTATCGTTAGTAACTTCGATCCGCGGAATATATCCGTCGACAGTTATCGAATATATCCGACGACAGTTATCGAATTACTAATAATTTCAGCCGTCTCTCATCCTCTTCGATTCTGGATCGACGTAACGACGAAATCCACGGTAAATCGTTTAACCGATATTCCCACGGCATCCTTGATTTTCAATCGGTTAGATAGCTGGCAGCAATTATTCAACGTCCTTGGATGGGATAACGGTTCCCGTGGGCATCGCTTGTGTGCATAAAACCATTTCCCCGCTTAGATTGGGTGAGTGGAAGGACTCTGGGGACTACGGGCTGTTCTAAGGAAGGCGAGATTATAAGGCGAATCATGTTTATTGGTTCGAATTCTGCCACACGGCAAGAAACTTCTTGTGAACCCTACCTCCTCCGTCGTTTTTTCTTTTTTTTTTTTGTTCGTAGCAACGGTATGGTATGGGATTCTTCCCAATGGAATTGAAAGAACACGCTTATACCACGCCATAAGATATGTACGTTTCGCGAAGTGCAGGATGTTTTTTGATTTTTGAATAAGACATGAAACAGGCAAACGGTAATTAAACTATGTTATTAACTATTTTCGTGGATTGGTTTATGAAAAGTAGAACAGGATGAAAGTTTGTTTCGTCGAGTTACTTCCTATTTTTGGGATTGTTTCATGAAAAACAGGACAAAATCAAAATTTAGGTTATCCAATGTCTACTTCAATTGAATTAGGTTTAAAATAAGATATTAGAGAATCTGTAGCGTTATATTTACGCGATTGCATATATTTATGATATATTATGAAATTTATTATTAATAAAATGATATGTTCGTCTACAAAAACTTGTCAAACTGATCCATCACTAGTAAGTAATAGTTTCAAATACAACCCCTAAGAATCGCCAGTTTTCCGCAGATTCTATGGACACAGCAAAAAAAAAATACATCACCTAAAACTTTATTATAGTTCGAACTTTATTATTTAACTAAAGAAACCTACCGAGTTTGTCGATTATGAAGACCGTATTGTTTATATAATAGTGTAAATTGCATCCCCTAAGAATAGCCAAAGTGTCCCATAGATGTTATCGATCCAGTAACAAAAACATTACCCAAAAGTTTATTACAGTTCAAACTTTATAATTACCCAAAGAAACCTACAGAGTTTGTTCGTCAATTATGAAGACCGTATAATTTATACGACAGTCTAAATTGCTGTCCTTAAAAGTCCAAACTACCCCTAATTTATCGATACAGTAAGAAAAAAACTGTACGATCTAAAATGTTGTTACACTTAAATTTTATATTTAACTAAAGAACCTACCGACTTTGCTAATCGATTATAAAGGTAGTATTTATGAAGTCGTAGAAGTAATGGCGCCATTCGCCGAGCATCCCGGAAGGAGCCGTCAGAGAGGGTAAGAAGGGGGTCAGATTAGAGGGTACGGTTTGACAGATGACACTTGTCGATATCGTGTTTCGGTTAAACGCCATCGCATCCCCCTTATACCCCGACATATCCGTCTTGCATTTGCATATAAAGTAAGTTTCTTGGCATGCTCGGGCCTGGGCCGGCTCTCTGCTTTTATGGACTTAAGGAGAAAAGTAGCTCGAGGTGAGGCAGGTGGCAGGTTCGTTATCGGGACTTCCGATTGGCCCCTGGCTCGCGTCCCGCTTGTCGAGGAACGTGTGCTGCCGCCCGCCACCGCGATATTTCCACG